TATTAAATATTAAGGGCTACAGATGACCTTTTGCTGTTTAAATAATATCTTGGCAATGCATGAGTCTGCTTGAATATTGCTTCCGGGAAACATCAATAGTTACCTCTCTATTCTATTAAGAGATTGTAGGAGATGACTAATTATGCAGTGAATAACTCTTTAAAAATTAAATATAAATTTACAGTTAAGTAAAAAGTTAAGACTGTTAACAATTGAAGGCCTAGGATTAAACTCTGAAAGACTGAATCTATGTACATGGTTGAGAAGAATCAACAGGCAATCTGAGCTTGCAAACTACTTAACCTCTTTTCTTGTATTAATGATTTCTTTTTCTGTAACAGAGATGATAGACCGAAGTCCTAGCCCTGTGTGTTAAGAATGAGCATATTTGGTGGGTATCCTAGTTTGTTTCTTCATTGCTGTGACAAAACACTCTGACCAATACCAACTTGGGGGGGGAGGGTTTATTTAGCTTGCATCTCCCAGGTCACAGTATCATCAGGGAGCCCAAGGTAGGACCTCAGGGCAGGAACCTGGAGACAGGAGCTGGAGCACAGGCCATGGAGGATCGCTGCTTACTGGCTTGCTCCCCTGGCCCCTGCTCATCTTGCTTTCTTATGCAACATAGACCCATCTGCCCAGGGATGGCACCACCCACAGTGGGCTGGGCCCTAACAATCAATAAGGTGTCCCATGGACATGGCCACAGGCCAGTCCAATGAAGGCAATTCCCCAATTGAGGCTCCCTCAACCCAGTGTGTCAAGTTGACACTAAAGCTATCCAGGACAGGGGGTGATACTCAGTCTATAAGAGATAGGCAGGGGCAGGATATAGTTGTGGTGATGGAGGGGGCTCTGTTGTGACATTTGCCATTTCATACTCGAATGACATTAGGCAAGCTCACGTGTCTGAGCCTATTTGTAATTCTATACCGTTGACCTTAAAATTGAGCAATGTTGGGAAAGACACACAAAGCACCCAGATTTGATGCACAGTCATTAAATGAATGTTATAATTACAGTTAACATTATTGATGACGTGACCCTGCTAAGTTGCTGAGAGCAGAAGCTTCTAAGGCAATGAGATTGTGTGTGTGTGTGTGTGTGTGTGTGTGTGTGTGTGATTTTCTGCTCATGTCTAAATGAAATGTCAAGGTTACTCTGATGTTGGTTCTTGAAAATCCTGGGTCATCCAGGATTGTGGAGGATTTCTTGTTTATCATTGGTACCTTAGGATGAACCTCATATGTTATCAACAGTAGATGTTTGAACTTCATTATTTTAACTCTGTGGCTGTCACAAAGAGGAAGCTGGAGAATGAATATGAAAAATATCTTATCCTTTATTGTCTAGGGACAGTTGTGATGGAAAGTATATCCTTAACTATAGCACTTTATGGTTTCCAGCACAGCGCAGAATTATTTTGGACATATCTGGTCATTTGACCAATGAAGAAAAGCTCAGGAATTTGTGTGTGTGTATGTGTGTGTGTGTGTGTGTGTGTGTGTGTGTGTGTGTGAGAGAGAGAGAGAGAGAGAGAGAGAGAGAGAGAGATGATTGCAGACAATCCAACATAGCAGATAATATCCACTATAAATCATTTTGCAAGCCTCCATTAGTTGAGTGGGCTCTCAAGAAATAAATACATTTCTCTATTGGACATTATGAAGTCAAACCTTAAAAGTAAGGCTCTTTGGTGCACCTGTGACATGACAGGATGGTGCTCACCTGAAATGTCAGCCCACACATTTCTGGGTTTCTATATGTTTGCCTGTCAGGATGGTTTAGTGTTGGCCATTTCCTGCTCAAGGCTTATGGGACTGAGTTACTGCTTGTAAGTGTAGGATATGTGACCTCCTTCTGGTGGATTTACTGTTTCTATTTTGTTCTTCTTTCCTTCACAGTGACAGTTTTTGAACTATAACAAGAATGACTTTCTGTTTTTATACAGGAATAAACCTGAGGATTAAATCTGTTTTTGAAGTCTGAGTCTCTATTAATTACCTCTCCATCCCCCCAGGCAGCACCCTCTACAGCCACTTCAGTACCTTGGTGGAAGAACATGTTTGCTCTAGCCCTTTTTTTTGGACATCTTGGACCATTTATTGTCTGCCTTCTCATTGCCCTAGGCTTGAGGCATCAGCTATTAATGTATTTGAATGAGTAGCTTGTAACTTGAATGTCTTTTAGCCAGTACTCCAGGTATCTCATCCTGTTGAGGAGAATCTGATGTAGCACGTACTTTAAGATTACTTGATGTGCTTTTAAAGAATCATCCTGCCTGTGCTCCCAGATAGACCTTTCCCTGAACAGACACTGATATTCCTTTCATTATTCATCTTTTGACGCAATCTTAGAAGTTTCTTGATAAAGATAACTTTTCGATTCATTAAAGAATTAATTTGAAGAAGTAGTCAAAAACCCTGAGTCCCATGTGTATCTTCAAAATGGTGGTGGTTTGAATGTGTCCCCCATTGGCTCAAGTATTTGGGCACTGGGTCCCAGTTGGTGGTGCTGTTTGGGTAGGAACTCCTAGGAGGTATGGTCATGCTGGCAGAAACATATCCCTGGGTTTGGGCTTTGAGAGTATATGGTCTCATTTCACTTCCAGTCTATCTGCTTCCTGTGCCTGCTTGAAGATGTGAGAGCTCAGCTTTCTGCTCCAGCTCCCTCCTGCCATGCCTCCTCACCATGGTGGACTCTTCTCCCTCTGGCGTTGTAAGCCACATAAACTCTTCCTCCTGTAAGTTGTCTTGCCCATGGTGTTTTTCCACAACAACAGAAAACTAAATAACACAAATCCATGGAGGGAAGACAAGCCTCTTTTCCTTTTTTCCTATAATAAGGTCCAAATTTGAGACTTGCAAAAAAAATCTTAACTCGTGATCACTCGTATGGTGACCTTCCTGTCTCTTCCCTAATATCTCACCTGAATAATCCTTTCCTTTTAGCCTCAAGAAGTTGCTAAAGGAAGAAATGTTAGATCTAGTTTTTAATTAACTTTGCCATTGATTTGTACATAACTCTGTATGAGTCAGTGCTCTTTAATGAATGGGATGAAAAATCTCACAGATTAATGGCTCTTGTTAGGGTTTTTTTTTTTCTTCCTGGACCAGGTTCCAGATTCGCTGTAATGTCTTCCTTCCTTTCTGTTCCTTATCTATTCCATCCTTCACTGTAAAACACTCAGGCACACCCAGAAGGGCTCGTGCCTAGGCACCATCATGCACTCCATTGACTAATTGATATATTTAAAAAAGTCATCTTCTGAAATTTTACCTATTTCAATATATTTTTAACAAAATTGTTCATAGCAAAAGTTATTTGCCTTAAATGAAAATTCAGCTGCGGAACAGAGAGGAAAGGGGCTACTGGGCCTTAGAACAGCTCTAGACTATACTGGCATTCAATGTGTTTTATGTATTAGAGGCTGACATACTTCTTTCGTTACAAGCTACTGTAATAGGGTTGTGAAAAGAGACACATTTTCAAAAAATGAGAAAAAATTGAAATAAAGAAAAGTACTGAAAAATACAAAATAGAATGCTTTCAGTATAATTTAAGTGATGTGAATAAGCTATATTTTCTCTTCCCAAATATCATCATTATAGACCATCTTTAGCTAGTTGCAGTTATAGCTCTATCTGCAGTTTTTAATGTCAGCATCCTACAATGTTATTTTTGGTCTTTTCTACTTGTTGTCAATAGAATTCTGATCAGTTAAAATTCTAAATGTTGGTTACAGTTAGACAAAATAGCTGTTCAATATCTTTGGGGGTCTTTGGGGGGCAGGGTTTCGTGTAGTTCCAGATGGCCTGAACTATGTAGCAAAGCTTGCCTTGAACTCTAGATCCTTCTACCACCACATCCAAGGGGTTGAGATTATAGATGTGTGCTAGCATGTTAGACTTAGTGTTTTGTATTTGTTTTCATGCGGAAATGTTTTTGTACTTAAATTTTGAAGGGACTAGTTAAAAGTTTTTTGGACTTACAAATAGTCATGTGGAAATCAATAATCAATTGCATTTAATTAAATGAAATCTTAATTCTCATTTCTTGGGGAATTTTTTGTTTTTTCTTATTCTTTTGAGAATGGTTAATGGGGCTCCAATTCCCAGGTAAACAACATTCCAAATCATACAGTTGTCCCTGTTCCTACGCTTCCTTCATGACCTCTTGTTGAATCTCTAGCTGCGTGAATTGTGTCTCTAAGTGACCCCATCATCCTGTAGGTTCTCTGAACAGCTCTGGCCCAGATTTGATGTTCTTCTGTGTCATGGGAAGTGCTTTCTAATGTGACCTGTCTCTCTTCTTTCTATTCTTTATCCTTCAGCTTTCTTCTCAGCCAACTGGTGGGCTCATTCTACCCTCTGACATTTTACATTTTAGCTAGACCAAGCTCTTTTTTTCCTTCTAACACTACAACTCTATTTCTTATTTCAGTGCATTTGAACATGGTACTTCCTCAATCTGGGACACCGATGGTCTCCATCTTATGCTCCATATCCCCTGGTGATATCTGTGTCATCCCACAGATCTGAACCTTGGACTTCCCCTGCAGTGTCTCAGACCTAGGTAAGTATCTCTACAGGCTCTTTCAGCTTCTGATGGAGCAATAGACTTTTACTCTGTTTCATAGACGCTATCCCCAGAACCCTGCCTGATGCCCTGGAATGTGGTGGACACTTAGTTTTTGAATGTACTTCCTTGTTTAGTATTCTGTTATAATATACTCACTAATGTTAGGGTACCACTTAAACCATATATAAAATTAGATTTTTAGAACACAAAGATGAGTGGCTTCACTTTGTATAGTGAGCAGATACTCTGTATAAAGTGAAAGCAATTATTTTTTTAATGTAGCCCTAAGAGACTGTGTGCCTTAACAGGTTCTTTACAATAGTAAATTCAACAGCGAATGACAGTTAACACCCAACACACTGGGAAAGCCTATGAGTAATGTGGAACAAACTGAGCTCATACTTGATATGGAAAAAACATTGTTTTATTATTATTTAGAAAGCACACACAGCAATTTATTGGGGCAAAAGAGAAAATGCAAAATAAGTGTGCATACAAATTCATCAGAAAAGAATTGGTGTCACTTCCTGGATCATCTCTGTCACTGTGAGCTTTGAAAATTGTGCATCTGTTAATACCTCTATCCATAATTGGAGGTACAGACATAGATATATGGAAATACAGCTCACGCTCATCAGACACGCTTCCTCCAAAGATATATAGTGGGCATATCCTCTGCCTTCCTGGAAAGTTCCTACACTTATATTCCTGGATCATGCCACAGTCTCTTTTCTCTGAGTCCGTCTCTGATGACAAGTAAGGACACTTGTGAAAGAAGATTTCCCTTTAGTTCTTGGCTTTTTCTTTAGTTTTTTCTGGTTCTTGAGTGATATTCCCAGCTCTTCCATGATGGCATTGAGAGAGAGGCACTAGAGAGCATGAGATAGCAGAGTTTCAGTATAGTGGGACCCACGGCACCTGAGTTCATCTGTCTCACTTGTCTGTCGTTTTATGGATACATGATACCGGTTTTGGGACAGCTTTGTCATTAACGGCCAACTCCCATCACCTCCACCTCCACCCACTGGCCACCCATCTTTTGTACTTAGGAAAACTGAGGCAGTAAATTAGCTCAACAAACTATACTTTTATTCACAAACACAGTAGTATAAAATTTCTCAGTCTGAACAAAACAGAGCAAAACAAAACAAAACTCAAAGCTCTCAAAATAGACAACTTACCTTTGCCGAGACACCAAAACAGAGTTAAATTAAGGCATTTCCCCCACCGAGATGATCCAAACATTGATAGGCTTATCAAGGTATACGGACACTTCAGTAATGCTATAGAAAATGAACAAACCTTCTCTACACCAAGGCTTTGTTTTTTGCTCCCATGAAACCTTACTTTGTTCCTAAAATAAAATCTAAGTCTTGATGACTTTCCTTTCTGATAAAAAAAAAGAAAAAAAACAATTTTAAATTGTATATTTTCTCCAAAAAGCAGAGATTCTGGCAGCAGTAATGATGCAGCTGGGTTGAAATGGAAAATAATGGCATTGAACTGCATAGCAAAAATGATGGCATCACACAAAAGAAGATGGAATTATGGCTGAGAAATGCTATACATATGCAGAATATATATAGATACATATCTCCATTACAATTACGCTAGGTCTTTTTACATGCATAGTATATAAACAGCCAAAAAAAAACCATAATTTGCTGTCAATTCTTGTATCTAAGATAAGCTCTTTGAACAAATTTCTGTCTACAGGGATCTGTCTAGTTTACTTTTTTGATGACGTTACTCTGAAAATGTTCCCTAGCGAGATCAGGTTACCCAGAAGGACAAAGATGGCAGGATTCCACTTATATGAAGTATCTAAAATAGTCAAACTCACAAAAACACAAAATAGAACAGTCATGGTCAGGGGCTGGTGAGAGGGAAAGGGGGCAGCTTCTCTTCACTGGGTGTAAAGTTTCAGTTATGCAAAATGAGTAAGTTCCAAAGCTCTGCTGTGTAACCTTTTGCTGATGGTTAACAATGCTGTATTATACATTTAAACTTTGCTAAGTGTATAGTACTCAGGTTCTATGTTACTGTACTAAAAAGAAAAATCCTCTAAAACTTTGAAAACTTTGAGAAGCATTACAGAAGTACAAGCAGTCCTCCGTGTGACTACCTCACAACACTGGCAGGGGCGCGTGACAGTTTGCCACCAGGTTTTTTTCTTGCCTCACAGGAAGAAACTCATGTCCCAGGTTTGGGAAGTTTTGAATATCAACATGCAACTTGAATTTTTGAAAATCTGGTCTAGAAAGGACTTGATGGAGATAGAGAAGCAGTAGTTTTATTTTTGAGGTCATTCTATGCAAAGAATACATCTGGTGGTGAATGCCATTAATCTTATCACTCAGGAGGCAGAGGCAAGTAGATTTCTGTGAGATTGAGGCCAGCCTGGTCTGCATAGTAAAGTCCAGGTCTTCTGGGGTATGGGAGACCCTGTCTAAGAAAAACAAAAAAGGGTTAAGGGGCTAGAGAGATGGTTCAGAGGTTAAGAGCATTGGTTGCTCTGCAGAAGACCCGGGTTCCATTCCCAGTACCCACATGGTGGCTAACAACCATCTTTAACTCCAGTGCCAGGGGATTTGACACCCTCTTCTGACCTCTGCGGGCATTGCATGACATGGGTGCACTTACATGCAGGCAATATACTCATATGTGTAGAATAAAAATAATAAACAAAATATATAAAAAGGAAAACATTTGCATGTGCTTTCTGTGAATTAGACTTCAAAAAGACTGACATAAGTGTTCCTCAAATGAAGCGTAATGAATTTTAACATTATGCTATATCAAACTTAGGTGTTGCTATGACTATAGTATTATGATAGATTGTGTTGTGTTCAGGTTCTGATCAGAAATTTCAATACAAGGTTTTATTATTTATTTATTTATTTATTTATTTATTTATTTATTTATTTATTTATTTCTGTTGGCACTGAGCATTTCCGGTTCTAGGAAGATCATCCAAAGGGAGAAAAAAGGAAGGAAACGAAGGTATTCCAAGGTCTTCATACACATTATCACATATGAACCTTACAGTAGCCTAATAACGAAGTTGTTAGGTTTATTACATAAATGGGGACAAGTTGCTCTTGGAGATATTAAGTAAAAACAAAAATAAAATACTGCTTAACTCTATTGATTTCACCGGAAAGTCTCTGCATTTTGATTCTCAATTCTTTTTTAATCACTACGGAGAGTTTTATGAACTTTTCCCCATGAAAACATGCTACAAAATTTCAGTGTTGATTTTATTTTAACTGCTATTCATTTAAATTTAGACATTCATGCCATTTTCAGTTGAAACAGTAAAAATGGACTTGTGAGTGCGGCTTCTGTGTGGGACACATGGGGTAAGTTTTGATTGAATGCCCCCTTCCCTATATTAAGTAGAGAGGTGCTTATAGATAATTTTTATCCTGACATATGGTTCAAGTAAGTTTATTTATTTTTTTTAAATTCTCCCCTAAATTTTCAACAGCCTTAAAATACAGCAATCTTATTATTTTTTCTGTCAATCTCAAGTGTTTATTTCTTGCATCTAATATGGAAATGAATAAATGTACTTTTATAGATGATCTGGCTTCTCTATCTTTGGTCACAAACTGACTTCTTTTTGACACTTACTTTGTCTCCAACTGTCAAAAAGAAAATGGCAAGGTATTGGGACTGACCTTTCTGCTTCCAAGTTTTTTGCTGTAGTCATAAGGAAAGATGACCTTTAAAGTCCCTTTCATCCTGAGCTCAAGTAAACGATAGGCCCTCATAGCCATAGGAAATGAACCAGTGAAGGTCATGGTTCAGCCCAGAGTGGCATCTAAGGTGGCATGTGTGGGGCTGGTTTTCATTAGTTTTCTTGCCTTTCATAATCTCAAAATCTACACAGCAGTAAGTTTCTAGAGCTTTAATTTGTAGGTTTTAGTTTTTAGGAACTTCCTCATATTTGCGGTACCATAGAAGCATTATTTTTTAACATGATGGTCTGAATTTCTAGACTCTTAATGGGAAATATTAAACAGTCAGCTTTCTCTAGCAGCAGCTTGATTGGAGGCACAGCATCCTAGCTGCTTTGTAGACTGGTGATGCCACCATACCCCTAGGTCCTAGGCCTGCTGTGGTCACAGTGCTTACATTTTAGGGCATCTGTACGGCCATGAATTACAGTTTGGAGTTAACTGCTAGCATCAGAGTGCTGGAGTGGAAGCTTCAGCTATGCTGTTTAGTAGCTTGGTTATACTGGGCAAGTATTTTCTTCCTCTTTGACTCAATTTCCTTATCTATAAAATGGCACCATAGAGGAATCTTTTTCCAAGAGGTATAAGAATTCAGTGAAGGGTGTGTGTGTGTGTGTGTGTGTGTGTGTGTGTGTGTATGTGTGTGTGAGAGAGAGAGAGAGGAGAGAGAGAAAGAGAGACTTCTCTTTTAGAGGAAAGGAAAGTGAGCAACAAATTAGTCTAGCTGAGACCCAAATGTACACTTCATCTAGAACTGCAGTTTTCCTGGTGTTGAAGGGAGAATGGTTTGCTTGGGGATTCTGGGGTTTGCAGGCTTAGGGTGTATCTCTCACAAGCCCCTTTCCTGGGCTTCCCTTGTCTTCTAATTTCCTTTTACTATCCCTTTTGGTGAATTTCTTTTTATAGTCGCTGACTTCATGGTCCCTCCTTGATGAACCCCACATATTTGATTTCATGGTGCTACTGTGAGACTCAATATAAATTATATCATCCCTCTATCCCTTTATCCTCTTCTTGCAAATGTTGTCCTGCAAGGGGCAGGAGGGAGCTACTAAAAAGCTCATTTTATTTTCCTCCTCAGACATACTGCCTCAGGAAAACAATGGTTCAAAGGAAGAGACTTTCTTATCTAAAATAAAGGGAAAAGCTCTGTATTAGAATATGATAAGAGTTTACAGTATTCTAAGCCTAGGTTTTCTGGAATGGGCTTCACAGTGATCACCAATTTAACATCAGATTGTGACTGTCCCTGTGACTTGTAAATTTAGCATTTACAAAATCAGGTTTTCTTCATTCATTTGCACATTCAGGTGAATGGTTAGGAAAATTACTTTGATGATTATACTTTTAAAGTTTTTTTCCAATAAATTATAATTTTAGGAGCTGTAGCCTACCCAGTACTATAAGAGAACTCTCACATTGGTCTAGTCTTCTCCATTAACTTAAACACGCTCTAAGTGCTCTGTGACACTGACATTGTTTAATTAATTTTCACATTAAACATGAAGAAAAAGGATGTAATATCTTCATTTTATAAATGTAAGATAATTCACTTTATATGTAGGTCTACTATAACTTAAAAGAAAACTGCTTTTAAGTCTTTCAGAAAGACCATTTTCAGTGAAATATGCAATATAAAAGCAATATATTTCTGAGAAATAATAGGATTATTGTTAGTAGTATTTATTCTTATGGAGTTCTCAAATTACTGCCTTGCTCTATGGAGTCAAAGATTCAATGGATTTCTTTTTTAAGCAAGAAAGACTAACCATTCACATCCTTAACATTGTTTTTATCTTGAAATCTGCTGGTCAGCAAATCTAGACTGTCAATATGGTCTGGGCTTAGAGTCAGAAAACTTTTTAAGGGTACATTCACATACATACATAATTAAGAACTAAACTTTAGAAAGGAGCTGGGATGGAAAAATCCTAATTGATTGTATGCTACCATGAGGCTTTACTTCGATCACCATTTACACAATGGTTTCACTTTGTCACAGGATCAATAGTGATCTGACAGCAGAATTCAAACTCGGAGGACTCTCCTTAGTACAGAAAGGCATTTGCAGGGAGAGTCTTGGAGTAGTTATGCACGTCCTTGTGTAAGGGTTCATTTTGGCACCATTTGCTTTGGCTTTATTTGTTTTGTGAATTCCTTCAGAAACCATGGGCTGCCTTTCATGCACCTGTCTTGTATTAGAGAGTCTGGATGCTGGTCCCAATATTAGCTTCCAGAATAGTGGTCATATCGACTCATGCCTGGGAACTAGTGAGGGAGGTGCTTCTTGTCTCCTGGGTCTGTAGTGAAAATTTTGTAGCAGAGGAAACATTTTTCCATCATAATAAATACATTGTGGAATAGTATACCCAATCCACATGGATTTTTATTTTTGAAGGAATATTTAAAGAAATTTTGCATGTGGGTTGCCTGCCCAGGGATATGAAACCCATACTTTACATAGGTAGGATAAGTTCAATCTGCTTGATCATTAGGGATAATTCCCTGGGAGCCTTTGAGAAATGGACTTAACATTAAGGCAATGTAACATTTTGATATGAATTCATGTATTCCCTCACAGTTCTGCTGAATCCCTACTGTTTTCCCACTTTTAAAGTTGTAGTAAGAGCTTTTATATGCATTGCC